TAAAAGTTTTGAATGAAAAAAAAATTTTTTTTTCTTTAAACCTTAAAAAACATTGCGTATCAACAGTCAAAACAGAGAATAATTAATGTAATGTAGGAGCTATAATAAATTTAAAGTTATGACATCATAACATTGATGAGGTGTACATTGTCTCTCATTAGCTTTTTGTCCCACATTCATTTTTTCAGGATCTGGCCACCCTAACTGGAAGTTTCACAGCTCATGGTCTTGTTATGATTTTTGCCCTATCTGCCCAGTCCTGCTTCTGTTTTTGTTATTTTGCTTTCCACAATTTTTTCCCACCAAGTTCTCAATCACCACTCTGCTCCTGTCACAGCCAGTACCAGTTACTGATCCACCGCTCCCCGTCCCTCATGCAATCAGCTCAATCCACCCACCTGTTCCCCTCAGTATATATTCCTGCTCTCAGCCTTACTTCCCTGCAAGTTTGTCATCAGCCTAGTTCTGTTACTCACCAGCATTCTTGTCCCCATGCCTTGCTCTTGCCTTGTGTCCCTGAACCTCTGCCTGTCCTTCGGTCTCTCGATTTTTGCCTCAGCCCCAAATGGATTTGTCCAGCCATCTGTCCTCCTGGTATTGACCCTGGTTCAGTGTCTTGGATTTACTCCTCTCGTCTCTCTCCTTGTCGGCACCACAACGTCTCGGACTTCTTGGTTTATGACCCACGCCTGCCTCACAGACTTACGGATTCAGCTTCACCCCTCAAACCTGGTAAATAGAACTCGCTCTCTGATCTCGACACTTGCCTGTCCTCTGACTCTGTTTTAACAACGGACCAAAACTGTCACCCAAACCTTATGGTGACAACATTGCCTGGAACCGGAACCATCTGGGCTCTATCAGTGTTTCCTGTCGGACCACTTCAGTAAACACCAGGTCTTAGTTACTTTGAGTTTATTCATCCAATCTTGCCTTGCCACTAAAACCTTTTCTCTGTGTCCAGAAGAAACCACTCCAGTTCCAGTTTCCTGCCAGACAACAACAATAATACCCTTTTGTATAATAAATATTTTAAAACAGTTTTTGTCTTCGGAAATTTATCAGTGCTCAAACCAAGGGTCTTAACAGACAAACTGGCCAATAACATGAGCTCTGAGCTTAACAAAGTCTGGAAGACTGGTGTTGAAAAGGCCATAATCAAACTAGAAAAAACTGCTAATGATATTTGTGAGGCTTTAGCCAATCTGCAGACTAATGTTTATCCTACAGCCCCATCTGCAGGCCAAACCGGACCATCACACAATGTTGGACAAAATCAACCAACACCAGGTAATGAACCTAAACTCTGTCTACCAGAACCATATAATGGGGATCCTGAAATATGTCGTGCCTTTTTGACTCAATGCGAGATCCATTTCCAGTTACAGCCATCTTCATTCCCATCTGAATGCTCTATGGTGGCTTATGGGATTTCCCTTCTGACAGGCAAAGCAAAACTTTGGGGAACTGAGTGGCAAAAAGACACACTAATCTGTTACAGATATAAGGACTTTGTGCTGGAGCTTCAGTGTGTGTTCAGCACACCTTCTTCATAAAGAGGCCACAAGGGGACTGCTGGAGCTAAAACAAGGTAACAGAAGAGCAACTGAACTAATTATCGATTTTCATACCCTGCCTGTTGACAGCAGATGGAACGAGGAGGCCTTACAAGATGTGTTTTTTCGAACCTTGAATGAGGACATTAAGGATGAGCTGACAACGAGAGATCCGCCACAATCACTTCGAGAGCTGGAGGATTTGGCCACTCTCATAGACTTAAGGCTTCATGAACGTCAAGGAGAGCGAAGACGTAATCAAAGACATGTTTTAACTATTTCTAACCACAGATTCACAGTCGGGTCGAGAAGAAGTCCATAGCAGTTCCACCATTTCTAAACATACCAATGAGGAACCCATGCAGATCGGAAGATCCAAACTTACCATGGAGGAGAAACAACAGAGAGCAAGAGAAGGACTATGCTTCTACTGTGGTGAGTCCGGCCACATTGCTCAAGCCTGTCCACATGAGAGGAACACCATAACTAAGAATAAAACTCAAATGCTAAGCCCAGTATCAGTCAGTTCATCACTATTACAATTACCTGCTGAAATATCTGTGGCTGATAAGACGATCACAACTCAAGTCTTTGTTGATTCAGGTGTTGACACAGAGTTCATTGGGCCTCATGCAAGAACCGTTCGTACACACAGATTTGTTCTTAAGTTGTGCGTACGAGTGATTTAGGAGAATTTGTGGCATTCACCA